ATTAGGGCTTCTCCAAACCTTTTGACTTCGTCACCTATGCACTAAATGCAAGATTACGTCTAGACAGTTATTCAATAAGTCTACACGCAATCAGCGAATACACATAACATGGCATAGCCGATAACAACTGCAGCCGACTCGTCAACTATTGTGAAATCTGTAACATGCATTCAACACAAGATCGCTTTTCACATCCAGCATGAAGATCATGAGCTTCATTACAACCAAATAATCAATCTGAGGTTTCGCTTGATCATACTTTGATCAACGTAAAATAGCTAAACTCAATTAGAAACATACGTGCACAAGACTCAATTGTGATTTATAGAATTATGAACATGAAACTATTGATCAAACTTCGAGTTCATATAGATAATATATACAAGGGTGTCAAGTCTGATTAGAATAAAACCAGAGAAAACTTCATGTTACAAGCCCTATTCAACATCAAAGTACAATATTATTATGAAACTCTTCTTGTCAACAATCCTGACCCTAATATCCCAACGAAATATGAAAACTTCGTAAACCACATAGAAGAAAGAACAGCCGGCTTTGTGGACGAGTCGAATCCAACCAATATCATAGACACATTAAAGCTAGACAACAGAACAATGACCTAATTCAAACGAAATTCAAATGTAGAGATCAAAAACCACCTGCACAACCTTAACTAGCTTCTCCATAGATCTTTCAGCAATGACAAACTCAAATTCGTAGAGTGGTTAATACCAGTAAAACAGCGTACTCAAGATCAGAAGAGCAGATAGCACCAAAATTAACTATACTAATGAACTCATGAAAGAGCAAAAGACCTACTTCAAAGATCTTAACAATGCAAAATCAAATATATCATAAAATACTCAAATGATTCTACCAGTTGTCGAAAACGTACGTATCGATCTTGATCTCAAAACAATTGATGAAGTACGAGAAGCAGTGAAACAGTTGAAAAACCTAGAATCTCTTAGATTCGATTAAGTAATAACATTTGAGGTACTCGAGTATACCATACCATGGGTGACTAGGCAATTGAGCACTATCTGCAACAAAATCGTTGAAAATCAAAAGCTACCGAAACAATCCAACAGCACCAACATCATATCATAAATAAAGAAAGAGGTGATAGCATTCTGATGATCAGCTATAGAAGTATCAGTCTCATGTCAGTTGTCGTCAAAACATACAATCAAGTCTTGTTCAAAAGAATACGAGAGCTAATTGAGTTGATTCTTAGAATAAAACAAACAGGTTTTAGGAAACAAATGAGACGCATTAAACAGATACATGCCATACGCAGATTTCGCGAAAGTAGAAGCGACAAGCCATTACTAATTTTTGTCACACTCGTCACTTCCAATAAAACCATCAAATCAATCAACAGGAAAATGATATTCGACATTCCAAGACACTATGGAGTACCTATCCAAATAGTAAAAGTAAGTGTAGCTATATATATCATAACTAAAAATATTCATGAAAATCAATGCGATTAGAAAGGACATCTATTGAGAATTTTCTTCATACTACACTCAACATCGGTGAATCATGAATGGTGGACTCAAATTTGGTTCATCTCTAGCAACCATAAATTTCATTTTATGTGATGTCGTTTATGATACATTCGAGACTGCTTATATAATTAATCAACTTTTATGGTTTCGATATTGTCATGATGCATAAATTTATTTAAAATTATGCAAACATCACACTGAGTTCTGAGTTTTTAAAAAATCAGAACTCACTGCAACGCTTGTTATTGTAATGCGTATAATAATGCATGAGTTGCCTAACTTGAGTTCGCGTCACCACTTTCATGTTAGAATGGCGAAAGAAAAATTTTAGTCTCAATAATAATTATTATACGGACCGCATCATCTCTACGGTGATTGACATTTGAAAGCTTTACTTAAAGTCTTTACTGAATCAGAACTCTGACCTAAAACATGTAACTGAGTAATTGTGCTTCTCAACGCGTAACGAAACTCTTACGGCAGTATCGTGAGGTGAGGACCCACAGCAGACGCCTCTCTCCTCCTCTCTCGAAAAGCTGCGACCCATAGTCATCACTATGTACACATTAGAATGAATGTCGGTCACGTCTTCAACTACACTTTTACCTAAGGCTACAACTTATCTTTGGACATTTTCGTCGTTCTAATATAAATGTCTTCAACCGAATTTATAATTCGAATTCAGATTTTAAAATATTATCTATAATTTTGACTATGGAAAAACCAATAAATCTTTAAAATTTTGATTTATTTTCGAAACAGAACTAAGTAACGACTCTAATTGTAATATACGTGTGCGAAAAAAGGGTTAAATTCAATAATTAATGAAATAATCACGACGTCAGTCGACTACGTAACAACTTATGAATCCTTCAACCTTAAATATTTGATTGATTTCATTGCCGATACAATGATCAAATCTCAATCTCGTTGAACATGACAAAATTATTATCACTACTAGTAACTCGATTATTCATCTAGTGTTGTTGCCGATATTATGATCTTCTTAATGAAAACTATAATAAAATCGGCAAATAATGTAAGTTGAATTTATTGTTTACAAAATATTTTTCCATTTTTAAACAACTATAGTAAAAAGAAAATTATATTGATCAACAAGTTAACTAGTAATATATAAACAGTGTCATTTATAATTAGTTATGACAATTCTATTATATGATCATTTAATGTATATTAGTCTTTTCACTTATGTGTTTTTAATATGAAAGATATTCAATTTTCTTGAGAAGAATGAGAATTATTTCTACATATCGTTTAAAAGAAAAGCTTTCAACAAAGAGAAAAACAAAGAAAATTTATTCTAAAACTGAATTTAAAACAAAAAATATCTCTTTAATTTGTAATATATTGTAATTAAATGAAATTTTTGATAAGTTAATCAATGATTGAATGATACACTAGGAGTCGTACGTCATGGTAATTGTTTCTATGCAATCTTCATTATATTAACTGGACATAGATGAATCAATAAATTTTGATGATGATGAAAGTCAAACAACAGATGATTAAGACTCGAATTAATCATCATCTGATCTATTTTTAACAAATTTTTAGACAGTAATTTATTTCATTTTTATTCTGTTTATCCTGAAAGAGAAAATGATGACATATATGGAACAACTAAAGATGGTCAATGGCCAAACTGTTCATCTGTTTCATTATGTGATCAAGCATCTATTTTAATTAGACGAACTGTTCCATGGCGATAATGTTCTTCACTTCCTGTGCTACAACATATTCAATTTATTATCGATGATTTTTCATCTAGACTTAAACCTTTTTTTACATTTTGATTTTATTAAAAAATTTTTCTTTTTCATTTTCAAAATAATATTGATTTTAATGAGAAGAATGTCTTTTTTTCTTGTTCTTTTAGACAAACCTTACTTGTCATATCAACAATGTTTACTTCGTCTTTTTGTTTCTTTCGGTTTTTTTTCTTCACTTAACTGATTGACAAGTAGCAGGAGGCTGTTGTTTAGGAATAAATCAATTGTAATGGCTGATCAATCTGATGAAATTGTATCTCGTCTTCGAGGAATATCCTCGGATGAAAAAAGTGAAATCGGAAAAATGAAATGTAGAATAGATGATCAAGCTCGTCTTATAATGATGTTAAAAAAACGAAATGATGAATATATTTTAGCAAATATGGCTTTGGATAAACATTCGATTGAATTGGAAAGACAAATTGAAGAATTGCGTGATAAATTAGAAGAAGAAGAAAGAATGAAAGATAAAATCAAAGAATTAAAACACACAATTGAACAATTAAAAACATTAAATGTTCAATGGGAATTAAAAGAACAAGAATTAAATAAAAGATTTTTATTTGAAAATAAAAAATATGAAAATCTTCAAGAAGAAATATTATCTCAAAAGAAGAAAATTCAAACATTAGAAAAATTATTAGAGTATGTTTCACTGAGTTTTTCGTTTTCTATTTAATTGATATATTCATTTATTAGAGAATCCTATGAAAATTTTGATCGTTTTAAAAAAGATTCAAATAAACAATTAGAACAAAGAGATAAACTAATTGACAATCAACGAATTGAAATCAATCAAATACAATCACAACTACAAAGTTCTATTTTCACTTTTTTCTAATGTATCAATTCTTTCAAGTTTTTTTTTTAATTTCATTTTAAGATTTCGAACAAATAATAGAAGAAAAAGAAAAAATTATTCAACAAATCGAACAACGTCATTTAAATGAACTTGATCAATTTAAAATAAATAAACAATCATTAGAACAACAAACAAAACAACTTGAGAAACGTATCCAAGTATTATTTTTTCAAAATATTTTCTAGTTTTTTAATTTTTAATTTAAATTAGGAATATTTAAGTAATGAAGAAAAACTTCGTCAAAAATTAAGTAAAACAGAACAGATGTTGAATGAAGCTAATCAAAGATTTATGTAAAAATTGATTAAAAAAATCGAAAGTTGTTTATTTTTATTTAAAAATACAATTTTATTTTAGCACTGAAGAAGAACGTGTTAATTGTGATGTTCGTGTTCAAAAAGTTCATTTGAAATATCTAGAAAGTGAACAAAAAATTGAGAAACTTGAACAGGTTTATTTATTCTATTACATTTGTTTAACTAAAATAAAAACCATATATTTAGGAATTTATTGCTTATAAAAATTATACAACATCTTTATTAAACAAAGAAAAACTTTTAAATGAAAGACTACAACAATTATTATCTGGAAAGGCAACATAGTCTTATTATCATGTTTTACTCATTTCTTTTCTTTTTTTTTTTTTTTTATTTCTATTATTCTTTTTTTGTATTTTCTCTTGAATAATAACATCGATAAAAGAAAAAAAAAAATTTTTTTAATAGAAGGAAGAACACAAGAAAAAACAAAGCATAGAGAGAAGAGTTGTTAATTGAAGTGAAGTGAATTGTTATGTCGACAATGTCATTGATATTCGTATGGTTAGATAAACGTATGGGATATATACCAGGTGGAAATGAAAAATTAAAAGAAAAATTTCGAAAAATTCTTTCACCAATTCGACAATTTGATAAACCAACATCATGTTATGATTTTATTTGTGATTCAACCAAAGATAAACATGTTTTCTTTTTAACAACATCTGTTTTTGCTGAAGAAGAATTTCTTCGTAAAATAGCATCATTAACAAATGTTTCTTTTATTTATGTTTATGATCAAGATAATAAACAATTTACTACAAATGATAAAAATCTTTTGGAAAAAATGGGTTCACAACGTCTTATTCATTTTGATGAAATTCTTTATGAACAATTAATTTATGATTTAGCTAGATTTTATAAAAATCAAGCTGATCAACTTATTCTTGGTAATCAATCAAAACAAGGTAAACAATTACTTGAATATGCTGTACAATTAATTGATACTTGTGATGATCTTAATCAAGATTTACAATTAATTCAACAAGATTTAAAGGAAAAAATTCAAAGAGTGAAATAAAGTTTTGTTTATTTAATACATATTATATTTTTTATTATCCATTTATTCCTAATAGGTTTTATTTTGAACATATCGATTTACGTATAAACTTTTTCTTAAACAAGATTTTACATTTTTTCTTTTTAGTGTCTTTAACTTTATTTTTTCGTTTAATGCGTTTTGAAAAAATTCTTGGTATTATTTTCTTTATTTATTCAAGTTTATCACTGATGAAAGTAAATTCTTTTTTTTCTGTTGAACATTTTCTTGTTTAATAAAGATTAATAATAGTTAATCGTTTGTCTTTAAAAAATACTTCTTCCTACTACCTTTTTAATAACTGATTAACAATGAGCATTTATTCAAAATCAATGTAATTCTTCACGTTACGAATTTTTTATGTTGAACATAACCAACATTCATTGATTTATATAATTGACTCTTTCTTTAATTATTTAGAAGAAAAATCACGGCAAAGTTTTCAAATTTTAAGAAAATATCTATTGAGATTTATTTTAAACAAATATTTCATTCAAAAGTTTATTTTATTTTTATCGATTAAATAAATAATTCGGAAACAAATATCATCACAATCATAAATATAGTAATAACTACTTTAAACATATTTTATTTCAGGTTTTAATTCAATGAATATTCAAACGTATACAATTAATACAAAAGAATTATTTCATAGATAAACAACGTCAGTATTTTAACTTGATTTGTTTATGAAACTTCCATAGATTTTCGAAAAAAATAGTGAGTGTAAGTTTTAAACAAGATTTCAGCGACGTCTCCTTCCTTCATCATAGTCATTCGTAACCTCCCTAGGTTCCAGCAACCATGGAACCAGGAAGCCAAAAATTATTGGATATGTTTCTATAGTCAAAAGCAATGGCGCGTCAGTAATATGAGTACTTAGATCATTCTGATACTGTGTGGATTATACCTGTTTAATCAAAATAGAGCAGTTCTGAGCTTTTCATGCGGTGAAAGGATCTTATTGTATGTTTTAATCAATAGAGTGGTCGTCTCTTTCATCTAGTATAGTCCGATTCGGACGACCATAGAAAAATCTGAACTCATTGTATCCTAATTTATGGCAAAAGTCATTAGTATGTGTCAAAAACTTGTCGAGAGAAAGAAAAATGTGCAGGATAACTTACTAAGTGATCAAATCAATGTCTATAACAGGCTAATATAGTAGTTGAATTGATAAAACGAAGAATAGAATTATATTTGCCGTTTTTTGTAGCATGTATCTTAGATATGTTATCATTACGAGAATACAAATAAGTTTTTACAGTATAACGATATTAAATGAATCAAATAAATTAGTAAAAAATTAATTAGAAATGTGAACATTTTCGACATAATAAGATTATAGAGCATGTCTATCAACAATAAAAACTGTTATTATTTTGAATTGTTCATTTACTTGACATTTTTTAAAGATAAATTATTTTAAAAGCTCTGATAATATATCAACAATTTATAACAGCCAGAATTCGTGAACTCCATATGTTAACTCTAGAAGAGGCCACACTGACAATTTTTTTTTTGCTTTTTATCTTTAAAATAAATAAATCATTTATTAATAAGAACAAAAACGATATTGAAGTTTATCTTATATTTGACTTGTCCAAATGTAACGATGTGACGTTTTTAACACTATTTTTTAATTATCTCGGAAACTTTGAAAGCTAGAAAGTTCGTTCAAATACCATTCAACACAGCTTATCATGTTCTATTTATGCTATAAAAAAGATATTTTGTGCAACTCACATATGTTTTCAAAGAAAGTAGTTAGTGTAGGTATTACGTCGAAGTTGGGGTGTCATATTCCACTTACCATCACTAGTAAGTGGTAAGTGGTTACCACCTACCATTACTAGTAAGTGGTAAGTAGTTACCACTTACCATTACTAGTAAGTGGTAAGTTGTATAGATTACTACGCAAGAATGAGAATTAATAATTAAAATAATTATTTCTTAGTTCTATGTCGATAATTTTTCGATAATTACAACACTTACCACTTACCTGGTAAGTGGAAGTGGTGGTAAGTGGTATGTGTGACACTTCTTTATAAGGAGGCCACTTCTAGATGGCTGTTACCAAGTGATAAGCCACCTCAAATAGTCCAACCTCAGCGACGAAAAGGAAAAACACTTGATAATCTACTTATGTACGCATCAGGCTTATGAATGAACCATTCGAAGTGATTCATCGCTATTGAGCTGACATTTTGGAAATATCGAGAGGACCTCTAGACTAGAATAATCGTAAAAGGATTTGTTCCTATGGCCTTCCTGTCTTGAGATTTTGAATTTTCAAATTCGTGGGTAACGCAGCGTCTTTGGTCATATAGCACTGCATCATACCACGAATGAAAACGAATTGCTAGCTAAAAATTTTCTGATTGACTACGTTATTCCCTCGACTGAAAGGAGGGTCATACGGAATAAAATGCGTTTAATTCTTTGTGTGTTTGCTTGAGGTCAAAAAAACATACAAGAGAGGTCAGTCTATTTGAAGACTTTTTGCTGTTTTGACGAAACTTTTCTATAGGTTATCGAGGGTCCTGAATCCGAATCCGAAGCCCGTTTTTTTGGCCGAGGTTTCATTGGTCAGGAACCGGCCAATCAGAAACGAACTTTCTTATTTTAAGACTTTTGGTCGTTTGGATCGAACTTTGCTATAAGTTATCGATGGACCGCCATTCGAGTCTGAAGTTACGTTTTTTGGGCGAGCTTTCATTGGTCGGAAACGGACCAATCAGAAACGAGCTTTCTTATTTTAGGCTTTTGAAGCTTCTGATCGAACACTGCCGTAGGTTGTCGATAGCCCGGAATACGAATACAAAGTCGATTTTTTTGGCTGAGCTTTCATTGGTCGGGAAGGGGCCAATTAGAAGCGAGCTTCTTCGTGCTGATCGAAATAATTTAAAATTCACGTACAGTTGATGATGTGAAGGAGGACGTAAGTGAGAGAAGTCGAAATTTTCTTCAGCTTTATGAGGTAGGCAAAAAGGACGGGATCGAAGAGGTGAAGTATCTTGAAATGCTGAAGTCCCAGTGTTTTTCTGAATTTCATGCGAATGGAAGCTGTATTTTCTGGAACTATGAAAGAAACATCGTTCCCTCGTTTTCTTATAGCGAATACAGCAATTGAAGAAACGAGACATATGACTAGAGCTTTGCATTTCCTAGAAAATGGAGCCGAGAACTAAACAGAAAACAATTTTCTGATCTATAATGAAAGCCCGTATAAGAATTTGCTTTAAATAGAGTTGATGATTTCTTATGTAATTGCAAAGATAATTACTATGATACCTATCGAAACAAGTAACGGGACTTTTCGGCCGATAATGCCTCTACTGAAAGGAGTGTAATGTGGTAAAAACACAATAGCCTGGCTAGTTCCAGAGTCTTAGATTCCATCCATTGATCTGTCCTGTTCCCTCGATTGAAGAGAGGGTCATATGAAATAAAATAAGTTTGTATGTGTCAGGATCAAAAACGCATAGATCAAAAGATTGATGGTCAGTTGTTTTCGACATCTACCTCTTGTAATTAGGATTCGGAAATACAAATAGTTCTAGACAAAAGTGAAAATTTGAGAGGAAACAGAAACATCGTCGAACTATAATCTGAGGGGATTGAGAGATGGGTTTAGTTCAATCGTGACAATCGACTGCGAGCTGTTTGCTTAAGTAAATCTTAGAAGTTCAGAATGGAAAATAGAAAGGTCCGAATATTTTACAAAATGGTCATCACTGACAATGCTATAGACAGATTTTCGTCTGTGCACGTGTTGCACAATAGTTGTTACAGCAGAACTGAGAAAACGATAACAGATGATAACAAGATTGGATTCAGTCAAGGGCTAAGCGAGTCCTGCCGACGAGCGTTACTTGTTGTTACGGTCCACATCAGACTTCTTCATAAATGACAGCGGTCACACATTGAATTATTTTTCTACTACTAGTTATATTCGAAATGTTACGATCAAGGAGATCGATAGAAAATATTTATGTATCATAGCAATGAGCTTTGAAAAAATGCTCGAAGCAAAAAAATTTACGACAGTAGCTGCATAGAATAAAGGACATCAAGTGACAGCTCTACTGCTGACAAAAGCTGCCATCGGCATTAATACAAACTTTGTTGACGGACTCGAAATCTTCTGGATATTGATCGGCGTAACCTGCTGTGACCATGAATACTTTACCATAGGTATGAGCAGAGATGAGGGCAGCTGGTTGGGAACTAGAGAATTTACGCGCATTGGATCATTTCGCTCAGATAAGTTAATGGCAAAATCATCGAGTTGAATATGATTGAAAATACGCTGAGCAAACAATTTCGATTGTCTATTGAAATAAAGATCGAGTGGTTGAATGCGCGATGTAGTATGAGCAGGTATTTCTAGTCTTTTACATCCTTTGAAGCCAGAGTATATATCGGAATTTCGCTGACCGAACCAATAATTCGAGAACAAGAGAAAGTTTGCATGGAGTAAACGGGCGAAGAACGTGATCCCTCCAGTATTCTACCAACGAGATGATGAGCTTCCCTGGAGAACTGCATGTAACAGCAACGTTCAAGGCAGAAAAAAGCGTGCTTTTGATATCTAATAAAGGACATATCCTTTTATTATACAAGAAACATGAAGTCGGTCAAGTTACTGTCGCTCATCTTCCGCCTTGGCTCCTTCAAGCAAAGAAAAACGGGATCGACGAGTTTTCCAGCAAGAGATATCATTTTTTGAATAGTTTAAGAGTGCATTGTGGCATTCTTTGACTTTACACGAGCGAACGTAACATTTTCACCCTCATGTCAGAGTGTTATAGTCAAGTGAAGTTCAAGTTTCAGGCCAACCTGGTCAGTATTTTGAATTTCTTCAGGTACATAGTCCTTCATCTCCCTTTTCACGTTGGCTAAAAAAGGAATCAGCAGATGCAATGATAGCATCAGAATTTTCTTCATGATGACGGGTCACTAGAATCGCGAGTTTTTTC